CGAAAAATGTAAATTATTTGACCTAATTTGCGAGATGATGCCAGAAACGAGACAGACGCCGTAAGTACACATATTGCGATTTTCCGACATCGCGTGATATTCTGCACTGACGACAGCTCGCGCAAGTTGCCGTTTGTCATTGCAGGCCAGAGTGGCCAGGCCCTGTCTGGACTAAGTCCAGAATGGCTCACTCCAAGTTCAGCGGACATTGCGTGACTCGATACGGCTCCATAGAGTCTGGTTGCTCCACGAGCACACGAGCGGGAAACGAGATCTTCAATGTCGCCGTATCGAGTCGATAATCGACAACCTGCGCAGTCAACCACCATAGAGCCTCCACTGCTGTCAAGATCGTCGGTTTTTTGGAGTTCTTGCTTGCCTTCGCTCGTTGCCACTACCTCCAAGCCAAAAACCGCCTTGATTTATAGCTGTAACTGCGTGGCGCCAACTAGAAAGCCGAAGCGAGCGTTAATTCTGTCACGACGACTTATAAACGCCGCGTAGCTGGGAATGAGCGAGTGCCTTCGCTTTTTCCGCGTCGATAACGCCTTGTCTACCCGTGTATACGGCAACGAATTGCACCCTTTGCTCGTCGCTTTGACGGGCAGCCAAAATTAACGATAGCCTGGACTCTATTGCTGCATTTTGTGGGATTTTCAGGGAAAACTCCAAGCAAACCCAATATTTCAGCATAGTGAGTGCAAGTGAAAACCCGCTCCCTCTGTGACGAAACAGTTGGTTGAATCGTGGCTGAGTTCAGACGTCTTCTTTTTCCCCTCGCATCCATAGTCAGTTCTGCCGACTACCGGTACAGTGTAGCTTCTCGCATTACATTCACGAACAACTCGCACCGATCGGAACCGGACGTACCCGTAGCAGATCCCCTTCAGCTCCGTTACGCCTATCGCATCGCATGATGGACCACAGCGAGAGCAGCGCCATCGGCGACACCTTCGTAGACACCAACACTTCCGAGTTCCCCATCCTGGGTGACAACGAGTCGCCCGTGACATCCGACGGCCACCCAAGTATGCGCAACAGCCACCACCGATTCAGCCCCAACGGGGGCAGCAAGCGCAAGCTAGCGCAGTCCCCGCTCTCGCAGACGCGTTCGTCGTCCTCTTCGTCGTCGCTGGCTGCATCTACAGCCTCCAACTCGCTCACTGACCGCCTCACAATGATGAATATTCCAACGCAAGACCTCAAGGGCGCCGTGTTCTACGGTTGGCTCTGGAAGCGTGGTCAGTCCTTCAAGACTTGGAAGAAACGCTTCTTCCTACTCAACGGCGCTGCGCTCACGTACTACACGCAATGCTGCGTCATCGCCTCGGACGTGTTGGGAGGAGGCACCCAGTGCCTTGACCTGCCCGTTAGAGGTGGTCTACGCGTTGCCAAGGTTGAACTCTCCGACATGACCAGTTTTGGCCTGAAAATCACCAGCTCCAGTGGACGTGTGCTCTATGCGCAGGCAGGAGACCAGGAATCGCGCGAGCAGTGGCTTAAAGTGCTGAAGGAAGCACCACTCTCGCGTGGCGAGATGATGGGACCGGTGCCGCTCCGCCGGACTATGGCCAGTGACCTGTCGACGCAGCGTTCGTACCAGGCAGAGGGCAGCTCTCCTTACATGCACACGGCCATGAGCGTGCTCAGTAGCGACGACGGCGACGACACGCAGGATTGTGACATGCAGGGCTATCTACATGTGCGTGGAGGGCTTCTCCCTAGCTGGAAGAAGCGCTTTATGACGCTAACTGACGGACACCTGACTGTTCGACGTAGACGCACACAACGTCTCTCAGATCCACAGGAAGCGGACAAGCCATTTGAGGTCATCTCGGCTGTGCGCTGGAGCGGCCACGACAATGGCCTGTGTATCCGCCTGGAGAACCACAAGGAGCTGTACGTGTACGCCGACCACGATGCCGACGCGTCCATGTGGCTGGAAGCACTAAAGAGTTGCTAACTTAGACCAAGAGACGAAGAGGGGGCGCTGGGT